GTCGAAAAGTAGTACTCCCAATGTAAGCAAAATAAAGAAAAAAAAATAGAGCATGGTAGGTGGCTTCATTAGCACTTGTGCACCATTCAAGTGTAAGAACGAAACTTATGTATTTTATCCATAGCACCCAGAATGTCATATCAGCCACCCATCCACCAAGTGGATGACAACAACTTTCATGGAAAGCAATTTTGTACCAGATTTAGTCCCTTCTTGGTTGCATTTGCAATAAACGTGTAATAATCAAAAAGTGCAAGAAACGAAGAATTACGACCATTGAGACTGACCTGGATATTGTTAATCAAGTTCTGATAATCCTTAACCAACTCAATAGTTCGAGTAATAAGTTTTTCATCTTCTTCAGTCATGCCTTCAAGACTACAAGGCTTAAGAACTTCAACTAAGCAGTCCCACAGCTTAGGAAGCTTTTCAAACAAAGATCCACCCAATTTTTCACATAAGTACTTCAAGGCAAGTTCAGATCCACGTCTACTGATGAAGCCCTCAACCTTTAAACGATCTTCACCAGGGGAGAGCATATGAACTTTCGATTTGTGTCTATTACTGCTACTAACTGAGGATAGAAGATCTTGCTCTTCAATTATTTCGATAGAATTCAAAACTCCGGCTTGAGGTGTCTCACAAGGATCCATGCATGTCAAACTACAGAGGTTCTTAATTAACTTGTCATTTGGTCCAGGCTTCCGTCCCATACAACAATATATAAGTTCTGCAAGAGCCTCAGCCGCCTTACTTTGTAATATCTCCTCCTTCAAAAATGAACAATTATGACATGCAAATAGCAAGTGCTCTCTTTTCAGGAAATATCACATTGAACACTTACCTGTTCTCTCTTAATAGAAGCCATCAAAGGTAAAATAATTGGATTCAGTTTCACTGGAAGTTCATTCATCCAGACAACAGCAGCGGCCAGTAAAGAAGAGACGGTAATATGCAAATTATTCTGCGAGTTGTCAAAGGAAAAACTGGAATTTAGAAAATGATGTAATAAACTTATCCAGTTAATAAGACTCCAGGTTTAGAGATTCACCCCCAAAAGTTACCTGGACGCATTTCAAATACCCAGAAGTGGTTAAAAGCCTCTGTTTGAATGTTTCTAATTCGTCCAAGCTGTTCAGCTCGGCAGATTCCTCCCCCATAGAATTAATACTTAAGAATTGAAGTTTAGATGCAAAATTTATTGCATCATCGGCGCTAAGATTTTCTAGGTCAACCTGAATGGATGACAACAAATCTTTAAACATGCCAGCTGCCTCGGTCTCATGGTAGAGCTGACGAGCTTCATTGCGCATTTTATCATACGTTCTTGAGAGTTCAATATAAGGAAAAAGAGAATCTTTCGTCGGAAAAGCAGGGTTAATGCAGGCTAGCAAATCCATCAATTGGCTCCTAAAATTACTTGAGATGCCAGCAATAACCCCGTTCATATCCATGATGTTCCTGGTTTTCAGTTCTTTAAACCAAGAAATAAGCACCATTGAAGCTACCTGATTCACCATCAAAACTTCAGTTTAAATATGGCATATAGAAGGTATTCTCAAAAAAAAAAGTCATTCTCAAAAGATTGGCACATAGAAGGGGCAATATAAAGGAAATGAAGATCAATGCTAAACACTTGTTTAAGATTATGTACCTGGCGTTGAACTCCAGATAGAGAGGTAAGCGCCTTCCATAAGGGGTCAATAAAAAACTGCAAAGAACGTTCACGTAACCTAGCAGCTAAAATGCCCAAGACTGTGGCAGTAACGACACGTGTATACGTAACCGA